GCCAGGTGAGGCCACACCGTCCCCGGTCCCCTGTGTCACGGCTGCCCGTGTCTTTCCAGGTCAGAGCTCCCCAGCCTGCACCCCAGCGACGGCATCTTTAGCCCCGTGTCCTTCAAGCCTTGCTTCCACCAAGACGACATCAAGATGACCGTGTGGAAGCGCCTGCACCGCCGCGTCCTACCAGGTACTCACCTGCCCCGCCGGCTGCCCTGGCTCGCTGGTGCCTGGGACAGGTTGCCCAGCCGGCGTCGTGCTGCCCTGGCCTCTCTCTAGCTCTCTGCTTGGGCGCTCCTCACCCCCAGGAGATGCTCCTGGAGCGGTGTCTCCTGCTGGTAGCGGCCTGCTCTGGCCATAAACTCAGCCAGCACCAGCTTGTGCTCAGGGCTAAGCCAGGGTCTGCGAGACCCCTGCCTGGTGGTGTGCCTGGAGCCTCCGTGCTTTCCTTCCAGCTCCAGAGACGCTGAAACTGGACCCAGTGACAGCGCATCCCCTCCTGGAGCTCTTCAAGGGCGACACGGTGGTGCAGTGCGGGCTCTACCAGCGCCGGGACAGCAACCCCAAACGTTTCGACTCCAGCAACTGCATCCTCACCTGCAAGGGCTTCTCCTGCGGCCAGCACTACTGGGAGGTGATCGTGGGCACCAGGAACCACTGGCGCGTGGGCCTCATCAAGGGCACCGTCAGCCGCAAAGGGAAGCTCAGCAAGTCGCCCGAAAACGGCGTGTGGCTCATCGGCCTGAAGGAGGGGAAGGTCTACGAGGCCTTCAGCACCCCACGGGCCACCCTGCCGCTGACCAGCCGGCCCCAGCGCATCGGCCTCTACCTGCACTACGAGAAGGGCGAGCTGACCTTCTACAACGCCGACAACCCCGACGAGCTCAGCGCCATCTACACCTTCCAGGCGGAGTTCCAGGGTCAGCTCTACCCCATCATGGACCTGTGCTGGCCGGAGCGAGGGCCTTACTCGCCCCCTATCATCCTGCCCGCGCCGACTCCCAACCGGCACCCCCGGGCACCGTCCAACCATCCCGGCCCAGAGGAACCCACCAAGCTGTAGGCCGGTCCAGCGGGATGAGGCTGCGGCCGAGCCCTGGGGGTCCGCAGCAGGGGAAAGTCACGCTGTGTGCAGGGTTGTCCTCCCGTGGAAGCCGTGGCGCTGCAGAGGAAGCTTCAGCAGCACAGAAGGGTCCTTCCCCTCTCCTCTAAGAGCGTAAAATGTCAAGCCTTGACCTCTGAATCCCCATCCCCGGTCTGGCAGGCTGATCCAGAACCCTCCAACAGGCCTGGCCTGCGAAGATCTCCCGACGGAAAGGAGCGCCTGTAATAAAGAATGGCTAACTAGCCTCTAGA